TCAAAAAGAAATCTACATTTTCTCCTATTACTCCCTGCTGGCACTTGTTCCTGTGTGCTGACTAACAAGTAGAAAGCAGAAACATGAGGAGAAGTCAGAAAAAAGAAAATTGACTGTATCCTCAGTATGGGAAGAAGTTTCTTGCACTCACACAAAACTTAATCACTCGCTCATTATTGAACAGGAATACAAATCCTTAATTCACTCTATCACTTTCAGTGACAAATTATATTAATGCATCTCCTGTTGTCATGATAAGAACATTCTATAAAAAGGCGATCAACTTTTATTTAAACAGTAATACAGAAGATTGCAGAGTAACCCAAAATCTTGATTCACAGTTAATTCTGTTTGCACACCAGCAACCAAATCTGAAGCCAGCACCTCAGGCACTTCAGGAGACCAAATGCCCAGAGACACGATTGTACATGGAGGTACCAGTAAAACCAGTGAAGGCAAGACAGAGCCAGAGAGCACAATCAGGTGCTGAATGCCCTCTTGTTTGACTTCCACTAGTGTTGTATAATTATATTGCTACAAGGCAAGAATTCCCAATTGTCGGCAACTTGGAGAGTGCTTGAGATGATATTGTTCTGCTGGATGGGCTGTGCCTGAAAGCAATCTTTTAAAAGTGGCTGCTTTAAGCGTTAGTTAAATGGCACCCAGCGATTCGTTGTACAGAGGAGTCATCGTTAGTCTTATGCACGTATCAATAAAACTGGTACTGTATGTGCAGGCTGGTTGGCAACACTGAACCTCAGTATTTCCAGTAACAGATTCATTTCTCTGGTCAAAATGAGAGCACTGCAGGGTCTCAACCTCTTCTTTCCAAGCCACTGCTCAAACATTTCTTCTCTGGAGAACACGCTGCAGGCACCTCAATATCACAGTTTGGCTTTTATTTATACATGCACTTCCCCCAGTCATGCATTAACATGGAGCAGGGAAATGGTGGTGGTCAAGGTTTGTGCTCTTTCTGCAGTGTGTTTATCCAATGCTTTTCAGCAGATGCTCTCAGAGCACTTTGGAACCTGCTCTGTTGTGCAGTCACAGAAGGTTAATTGTGGGTGAGAGAGGGGGGAAATCACTGCTCAAAGTGACTGATTCTCACTCTGGTAACCAGACCACAGAACTGAGTGCCACCTCCAGTCATTCCTTGGACACTTCCAGGAACCCCAGGGATGGGAACTCCACCACCTCCCCAGGCAGTCCAGTGCAATGCTTAACAACCCTTTCAGTGAAGAAATTCTTCCCAATGCGCAACCTGAACCTCCCCCGGCACAGCTCGTGACTGTGTCCTCTTGTCCTGTCATGAAACTGTCCCTGCATCTTTCACTTGGATACCACTGGGACAATTAAAAGGTCACTTTTTCCCTGACATACTAATTTTAAATTAGGCTTAGCAACTCTTTGTGAATCTGTTCTAGTGCAGTAGTGACTGATCTACCTACCAGTAAAGCCTCTCATCAAGGAGATCAGCATGGCCTGAATAAGCCCAGCTAAAAACATCAGACATACTAATGGCATGGCACAAAATCCCTTTTTCTTTGTCCAGCTGAGACTGCTTCTCATTTAGGTGAGTAGCAAAATTTAGCTTTAAAGTACACTTTATAAGGTTACTCACCTTGGCCCAGCATTTGTTTCACTTGGAGCACGGGACACTCATCGTAGGGAAGCATCTGGGCAGAAGAAGAGGTGCTAGTAGATGTGTGTTTGGATAGGATTCATCCCTGGACGAATCACCTGATAAACCCAATGCATAACTTAGCATGAGAGACAGTTTTAACACTCCCAAATGAAATGTTAATGCAGAAACAATCCCCTATAACATCCGCATGGTAAATAATTTACATTTCTTCTGAGCACTGAGGAAGATTAATGGACAGCTTTTTTGGAAAAAAAAAATCAAGTAAAAACATTTGCAAGCTCCCGTGTCATTGCAGTAACCGGCAGCAAGTGTAAACACTGCAAAGATTGTATCCATTTAGCAGTGACTGGGAGACCACACAGTGCACGAGAAGCAGTGATGAACAGAGCTGCCCTTTCTATTAAGGGGTCACTTTGAGTTTCCATTTGGAGCCGGGAGAGGCGGGGGATTCACTGCCTGGGTTCAAGGCACCCATTATTTGTTATTATGAACTTTCCAAACTGAAGAGATTAAAATAAGTCCAAAGTGTTTCTCTGACAAATGTTAAACGTCACCCACAAGATTTATAGCACTTCTGTTCCCCTCCAAAAGCTTTTAGTTCAGTGGCAAAGGTTACTGAGGGCTTGTCCACTGGCTGCTAGCTTTATAGTTTTAGCACTGGCCAGAGAGCAATCCAAAGTTTCAATAACGAGTAATAGCACTTTCAGCTCACCATCATCATTTGTCCTACATCCATTATTGTCCTAAGAGACCAATCTTGATGATGTAAATGGTGCTGGCAGCTGGTGTGTCAGCGTTTCACACCTCTGCAGCTGCCAGGCTGCAGGACTACAAATATAAGAAAAATAAAAAAGCTAAAATCCTAACACATCGGTAAGGTTCAAAATAACATCTAACAGCCCATGCTGCAAAAACGCATCAGGCTGTACATAGCAGCAGTGCTCTAGCTGCTTGCAGTGAGTGCACCTGTCCAAGGGACATCGGGAAAAGAAAATCAGGGTTATGGTGGGTACAGAAGCTACTTCAAGGTGCAACAGGAGATGGCAGACTTTCCTAGGCATGGCTGATCTCTGCAGTTATCCCACTAGCTGGAATTTCAATCATCCCTTAGTCAACATATACTCACATTCACATCATGGACTGCATGGGCTATCTGCATGTTTGCGTCCGTAAGCATGCTTTGAGTATTCTCACATCCCCTTTTTTCCTTTCCCTGCACTCCCTGAGATCAGGTTGATACATTCAGCATAGCAATCAAATAGGAATAACAATCCATTACCACCACCAAACTGATTGTGCTGATCTGCAGATGCAAATAACCTCAGCTGATGGACCAGCTTTCCAAAAATCATTAGCAAAATAAACCACCACTACAGCAATCATCAACCTCCCAGCTACTGCAGGGCTGTCTGGACACTAACAGGTTAGCTCTGTTTCCAAGATGAAGAACTTAATTACCCCACTGCTACTCTGTGTAATTACAACAGTTATGAATCTTACTCTTTACCAAGCTATTTCAAATCCAGACCCTGGATTTGACTCACTAACCTCATCAGCACACAGCCCCACCAGACACTGTGGGAAGTAATTTTTTGAACTAAGCAATAAATCAGGTGTTTGCCTCAAGTGCAACTCAAAAGCTTGACTCTCCTAAGTGGGTTGAAAACCCTCTACTGAACACTGCTGACCCTGGAGTGCAGAGCCAAGGCAAAAATGGTGCCTCCAAGTTATCACAAATTTGAGACCAGATTGCTCATCATCCAAACAGAACATCAGAACATTGCTTTCAGCTGTCCTCTCCAGCTAAACAGGGCATGAATGCCGGCTCTTTTCCACAGGAAACAAAACTCACCCCAGTTTCCTGATGTCAGTTTGCAGGAGGTGCTTGGCACTGCCAGGCAGCCTGAGTTGGAAGTGGTGGCAGCTTGGGTCTGGGAGACATCCTCTGCTGTTTGGAATTTTAGGATGCGCAGCCCACTCAGGCCAACAGGCTCCTGGGCAGGGCACAGGCCCTTTGCCTTGTAAAACCAAACTGACCCCACCAGTGTGTTGATGTCAGTTCGCAGGAGGCATTTGGCAGTCCAAGGATAGCAAGTGTTTTTGTTGTTGGTAGCTGCAGTCTGTGAGAAATCGTTTGCTACCTGCAATTTTGGAGGCCGAATTGCAGTTTCGGCCATGGGCACACAGACAGGAAAGGCTGTTAATTTCCTTAGAAAGGAAAGCCTGGCACCCCATGGTTTAAGGGGCAGACAAAGGGTTGTGTAGGGGAAGGAGCTCCTCACAGGACCTTTCTTCACCTCAGCCCCCACTCCAAGGTCCAGCAGGCCCCCGTGTGACAAGCTGCTTTCAGAGGGTTACCCGGGCACACCTGCACAGGGAGCTGCTAGGCCAGAGGGACTAACAGGGGTATCCCAAGCGTCCCTCCAGGAACTATGGCCGGAGCATCCAGCACGGACTAGGGAGCAGCCGGACCCACCTGGGCACTGAGCATCACTTTGAGAAAACAGCAAGGGAAGAGCCTTTTGGCCAAGGGGCAGCATCTGAGCAGGCCAGGCAGCAAGTGGGGTTCCAGGAGAGGGTTTCAGCTTTCCCCTTTTACTGTGTCAGTCCCTCCCCAGAGCCCCAGAAAGGAGAGGGGTTATTAGGAGAAAAAGGGTTTAGAATAAAGGGAAAAAGCTTCCTTTTCCATTATTTTTTGTGTTCAAACTGGGAGGGACTCTGCTTCCCCTGCAATTTTAATGGTCTCAGTTGAAAGAAACCCAGCCTTTTCTATGCTGTTAGGGGTGTTAATTGATAGGAAGTCCCCATTTTCTATTATTTTCCAGTTTAAATAGAAGGGAAAAACCTTGACAATGTTTCTTATGGGTTTGAATTAAGGGTAGCCTCCCCCTTTTTGTTGTCCTGAGGCCTAAACTGAGGGAGAAGCAATCTTCTCCAAGAGCCTCTTAGGGCAGCTAAAGGGAGAGGCTCTACTTTTGATGGCAGCTTTCAGGCAGGCAGTGCAGGACAGTTCCGGTCCACATTGTGTTGTCCGGTGTACCGTGTTACCTGGTGTGTCCCTGGGGTCCCTGTGGTCAGATATCACTGCCTTTTCCCCTCAAGGCCCTCGCCACAAGCATAATGTGTTGTGTTTATTGTACCCGTTTGTCACGTTCTGTGTCAGGGGTGTCTGCATGTATTTGTGCTGGAGCTGCTCTGCCCTGCCACATGGCCAGCTGCAATAGGACAAGTCCCGGGGACTCGCAGTTTGTGGGGTGTTGCCGGACTCTCGACGATATTCCTAGATAGACACAAGATGTTTGGAGCTGTGAAGTCATCCTGCAGCCCTTTGACTTTTGCCCTTGTTTTCTGTCAGACGCAGAGAATAAAATCCAGGGCAAAATCCATCCACCCATCCTGTGTGAGGAGGTTCCCCCGAGCAGGTCAGTCACTGTTTGTTTCTGCAGGGGGAGTGTCAAGTGTGACTCTGTTACAGCACTGTTCTTTTTTTCTTTAGGAACTAAAGCTGGATATCAGCAGTCAAGGTGAGCATTGAGTAGCGTACAGAAGCAGTTGTTAATGCTCAAGTCTCACTTTCTGGTGCAACTCTAAGCATCTGTTTCTGTGCTTTAGGCAACCCACTTGGAGCACGCCAAGTCCCAGTCACCAACTGGCTGACGCACCGGGTTTGCCGCTCTCCCGAGCCCTGCAGAAGGATCACGGGACTCGGCATTGAAGCCTCTCCCTTTTCTATTTAAAGGTGTCACTAGGGTGGCCATCAGCAACAGCCGAGGAGTTGCAGTGAGTCGGGAAAGTAGGGAGGAGGAGCGAGGGTCTGCTCAGGTTTCAGCAATGGCACATCACCTCCTCTCCTCTTATCCCAGTCGTACCCCATGACAACGGCGTCAGCCTTGTAGCACAGCCAAAGCATGTGGCTCCAGGAGCCGGGCATTCTTAGGAGAACAGTGAGTAGCAGAATTGTTGGGTTTTGGCCAGTGTGATGCAGAGGTCATGCATTGATATTTGGTTTTCTTTACTGTAGCTGACTAAGAAACAACAGGAAGTTGTTGAACAACAGTGCCAGCAGGAACTTCCCAGATGTCAAGGCAGCCTTCCTTTGCACCTGGCATGGACCAGCATCCCCAGATGTCTGAGAGATAAGCAGAGGGCTATGATCCTCAGAGGGGATGAAATTGGGGCGCACGGTAGGGACCCACCGGGAGGGGTTTTTGAGTCCCCTTTGGAGGTGGGGGTGTCCATGATGCAGCCCCTTAGGCCCCATAAAAGGAAAGTCTCACTTTTGATCACAGTGCTGAGGTGTGCAGGGAAGAGCAGTCCCGGTGTGTATCGTGTCATTTATCTATTGTGCGTTCTGTGTGTTTGGGTATGTCATGTCCTTTACCTTAGCCCTTTGAGGGGCCTATCAGAAACCCTGGCATCATTCTTAGCATCTGTGATCTCTGCATTCCTTGGCCTGGTGTTGGGATTGGCAGGAGAAATTTGGCACGCAATATGAGTGATCAGCAAATCTCAAATTTTATTGATAGGTGTGGGAATCCATAAAGTCGGAGGGTTTTTAGGAAATGGTTAAAAAAGAGTATTTAGGCCTCAGGATGTGGCCCGAAGTTCTGTTACAGCAGAAAAGTTTCCGAAGCAAGCAGAAAAGTTTCCCAAGCAGTAGATGTGACAAATAACAATAAGACTTTGTAGATTTGGCTTTAGGATGGCAACAAGTTTATTTAATGTATATCTTTAGAAGGTTACTGTGAATAGAGCTCTGTTCTTTGTCTTTTATGAACCAGTCTTTGTTTTAACTACCATTACGTATGTTTTATATGGTTGGATGGAAAGCTTGTCAATATGTCTTGTTTTGGTGTGATTGGTTGAAATCTAAACTGAGATGGTTTTATGTCATTCCGTTTTACCCCACCTTCGGGGGCATTTTCCTTTAGGCCAGCATGCTGTTAACATCTAACAATGTTCTGAGGCTGATGTACTAATAAATAAAAAAGCTGGTCTGAATTTGTCCAGTGTGGTCCATATTTGGACTTTTTGCCGCGGCAAGTGGGTTCCTCTTTTAAGACGTGGGTTCCTGACACCATTGGATCTATAGCTACCCTGGTGCCCTGTCAATAGGTACACATCTTTATATCGGTGTTAATGAGGCTCGTACGTATTGCAAAAGTGAGCTCACTATTGGTTAGTTACTCGTCAGCCAACTATGCCTACTTCTGCATTCTTGTGGATATTTTATTGAAACTATTCTTCATATTTCTGCCAAAGATGTTCTCCCCTATCCTGTTGTTGCACCAAGGGCAGAATGTCCTTGCCTGTTATTGGGCACTGACTACTGACTCCTACACTTGTCCCCTTCTAGCTTAACCAGTGGCATTATGTCAACGTGACCTTTCTCAGCTAACCAACTGTCCACAAAGCTCTCCCCACTTCCCCTGTTTTTCTGTTGAAAAAGCATAGTCTGATTAAATGCAGTGGATGTCATGCTTTGCGCCATGTTCTGTAAGCACATGCAAAAACATGGCAAAATTAACACTACTAACAGAGCTATGATGCCCACTATAATGCTAACTTTAACAGCAGAACGTAACCATGATCCCAGGCCTAATGATGAGAGCCATCCATCAATACCGAAACCTGATTCTACCTGTAAGTTTCCAGTTAACCTCCGCAATTCAGAGAGCTGGGCATGGATGGACTGTGAATAGTCAGAAAGATTCAAGCAACACATGCCCTCAAATTCTTCACAGCCATGGCCTTGTGCAAGTAAAAGAAAGTCAATCGCAGCTCTGTTTTGAAGCGTTGCATGACGAATAGAATCAACATCAAGCAAAAGGCTAGAAAGTGCCAAAGAGGTGGCATTGGTTTGCTTTGCAAGCCAGCATCCCAACTTATTTAGGGTAGCATGGACACCTGTGGCTGCCACCCCTGGAGTCAGAAAGGATGCTGCAATTATGGCCCCTGGGGACCAAAATTTTACATCGTCCCTACAGTCAGCAGTAAATGCATGGATCATTCTCTTATGTCAACAACGGTGGCTCATGTTTAACATCATGGATGTATTGGGTGTAAGCAGAGACAGCCATCCAATTGTACATGGCAGCATCGATGGGACACCAGGCCAAGCACGGTCCCCACAGATTAAGAAGCAACCTGCTGGCAATTAAATAGGGTCATTTGATGAGATTGACACTCTCCCTGTGGTATAATTGCACCAAGTTGTTGCGTTACGATGGACAGCCATGCTGGAAGTTACAATAGTGGAATGGTTTTTTGCTGAAAGCTGGCTTCTAAGGTTAAAATTAAGACATGCATCTGCCATCACTGAACCTAACAACTCCAATTCTTGGGGTTCCTGTGGTGCTATGGGGAAGTGAGAAACCCATTGGTCCCAATTATCTACACTTGTCCTGGGATTGTCAGTTTTGCAGGTGGGTACACCTGAGGGACATGGCCAGGGATCTGCTGGTACCCCTACCAAGCAAGTTGTTAAATGGATTACTGGGAGAAGATAACGACAGGCAAATAGCCTCCTGGTTAGTTAAGTTTGCCAGGGTGACCCAAATGTTAGTCTTAGGCTGAGGTGGGGCCCATGCATGGTGAGTTTTCACCTCTCCGGCAGCATCTGCACTGTCTGCTAAGAGGGTGAAGATTAGTAAGGCAACAGCATAAATTTGCCACATCATCCTGATCTTCCCAGGCGCTGCTTTGAACCACCCAGACATTTGGGAGATAATGACTTGTGAGAAACATGTTTAAGAATGTGTCTTCTTCCCTTTCCCCTTTTTTCTCCTTGATTTGCCCAGATTTAATCTCTTTAGGTCTCTCAGACAATTGTCCCACACTTGGTTGGGATCTTGATCTCCCAAAATTGTACCTACTACACTTGTCTGTGAAAGGGGAATACCCCTACCACACTCAGACTGTAAGATATGCAACTTGGACTGTCCCAAAGCACGTTTAACTAAATGCTGGGTTTCCCACCAAAACCATGCGAGAATTTTCCGTTCTGGGGATTCATACAACTGCAATCCTTGGTGGCCAGGTAATCCTGTAAAGGCCTGGAGTTCTGCTTGCCAGGAGCCCAACTGCCAATAAAATTCACAGCTCCTGCATCACAACTCAGATCATTGGGTCTGATGTACCCACTTAGTTTGCTGACAACCCCCACAAAAAAACAATACCCATGCAGCACACTGTCTATTATGACAATCAATACAAGCTAGGTTCCTAAGCCCTCTAAATTCAAATGTAGAAAGCGCTGGACGCAGGCTTAGTATATAATCTAAGGATTTACACTGATCAATCGCTCGGTCAATAGCCAAACTACACTGTCCTTTCAGCTTAAGAAGCATTGGTCAAAGGATAATCAACAGCTTCATCTCCACTCACTGACGGTCTTCTGTGCTCAGTTGATGGAGGTCTGGTGGTTCCATCTAACACAGCTGCTCGGGTCCATTTAGCAGGTACCCATAAGGATCCTGTAGGGGTAGCAACACAAAGATATCCACGGCCTCAATATAACATCTTAACAGGACCTTGCCATTGTTCTGTTTTGGGAT